CTATGTTCGAGGTTTGTATAGGGAGGCTTCCAGAGCCATTTTTGTGTCCTGACCACCAGTTGGAAATCAGAAATTCAACAACTTTGTTCTACAAAAAACTGAATTTGAACAAATGGTGCATACCAAAATACTCGTAGAGACTCCCTCTTTCATTTGGTACCATCACTATGTTCGAGGTTTGTATAGGGAGGCTTCCAGAGCCATTTTTGTGTCCTGACCACCAGTTGGAAATCAGAAATTCAACAACTTTGTTCTACAAAAAACTGAATTTGAACAAATGGTGCATACCAAAATACTCGTAGAGACTCCCTCTTTCATTTGGTACCATCACTTTGTTCGAGGTTTGTATAGGGAGGCTTCCAGAGCCATTTTTGTGTCCTGACCACCAGCTGGAAACCAGAAATTCAACAACTTTGTTCTACAAAAAACAGAATCTGAACATATGGTGGATACCAAAATACTCGTAGAGACTCCCTCTTTCATTTGGTACCATCACTTTGTTCGAGGTTTGTATAGGGAGGCTTCCAGAGCCATTTTTGTGTCCTGACCACCAGTTGGAAACCAGAAATTCAACAACTTTGTTCTACAAAAAACAGAATCTGAACATATGGTGGATACCAAAATACTCGTAGAGACTCCCTTTTTCATTTGGTACCATCACTTTGTTCGAGGTTTGTATAGGGAGGCTTCCAGAGCCATTTTTGTGTCCTGACCACCAGTTGGAAATCAGAAATTCAACAACTTTGTTCTACAAAAAACTGAATCTGAACATATGGTGGATACCAAAATACTCGTAGAGACTCCCTCTTTCATTTGGTACCATCACTATGTTCGAGGATTGTATAGGGAGGCTTCCAGAGCCATTTTTGTGTCCTGACCACCAGTTGGAAATCAGAAATTCAACAACTTTGTTCTACAAAAAACTGAATTTGAACAAATGGTGCATACCAAAATACTCGTAGAGACTCCCTCTTTCATTTGGTACCATCACTATGTTCGAGGTTTATATAGGGAGGCTTCCAGAGGCGGACATCTCTCCTGATTCACTGGATTAAAATGTTTGTGACTTAGTAATACTTTAGTTTTAGATTATAATAAAATATGTTTCAAAATCTTCGTATTTTTTATTAGTTTCCATTACTAATGAATTATGTTAACATTTTTAGTAATAATTTTAAAAAAATATATTAATTTATAATATTCTGCGCTCTCTGTTGGAAAGCACTGTTGATAAAAATAGTATTAAACGTGAAATTGTGATGTTCTGTGTCACCCTGTAATTTCGATAAAAATTTTGTTATCGAAAGTTAGCGATATCGCTAACTTCACGCAGGTTAATTTTGTGAGAAAATATACAAAATGTTGTTGATAACTGTAATTCCTATTGAAAATGTTATCGATAACTATAATATCTATAGAAAATTTTATCGATAACTGTCATTTTAGTAAAAAAATATTAATAATATTTTTATAGAAAAACTTATCGATAAGAAAAGCATATGTAGGAAATATTATTTTTTATATTCCTTTATTTCATATCGAGAACAATAATTTCTATATAAATTTAAATTTAACAACAATAGTCGCTAACATTTGTGTATCATATTAATTTCTATAAAAAATAAGTTCGATAACTTTGATTTCTATAGAAATTATTGTTATTGACAATTCCGATAACAATAATTTTTATAGAAAATAGTATAGTGTTTCTGTGCAAGATTTCTATAGAAAATGTTGTCGATAACTAAAATTTCTATCGAAAATTTTATCAATAACAATAATTTTGTGAGAAAATATACAAAATGTTGTCGATAACTGTAATTCCTATTGAAAATGTTATCGATAACTATAATATCTATAGAAAATTTTATCGATAACTGTCATTTTAGTAAAAAAATATTAATAATATTTTTATAGAAAAACTTATCGATAAGAAAAGCTTATGTAGGAAATATTATTTTTTATATTCCTTTATTTCATATCGAGAACAATAATTTCTATATAAATTTAAATTTAACAACAATAGTCGCTAACATTTGTGTATCATATTTATTAATATTGTGCGGTTTTTTTATTTTGTGATAAAAGTAACCTATTTTAAAATATAGTGCATCTTGAAGTGAAAATTATCAACACCAATATTTTTTAAGAAGCAGTGCCAACATTTCTAACTCGACTAACTGACTACATATTTTTAATATTTTGAAATAAAAACAAGAACAATTAATTCGAATGAAATAAATTCAATTAAAACCAAAATGAAATCATAATGAAGTCGCATGGTTCATACCTCTCGGTTTCCGCTATCCTGGCAAGCAAATTACAATACAAATGGTAAACGTATTTTGGTTTGTTTTGATTTGGTTTAGTGGAAGCAGTTTTTTGTTTGTTTTGTTTTTGGTCAAGGAGGATTTAAAATGGAGAAATTAAAATAAACTAGCATTAATAATAATAACAATGATATTAGCATACATTTTAACAAAAGAATGTTAATTGAATTATAAAAATTAAAAAAGAAATTGAATGAAAACTATAAAAATAAATTATTATTGAAATTGAAATGCGCGTCAGCCAATTTTTTATGGTTTGGTTCGTTTGTTTATGTTGGAGGGGTTTGGGAGGTTTTATGTTGTAAGGTATGTCGCCTGAGTTTTACATCAGTTTAAAGTTTAGTTCGTTTACTTCACTAAACATTCAACATGCCAACACGATGCTATTGATTATTTTTAAATTAGTTGGGGCACATTTGCGTTCAATACAATAGCAGTCGAAATGATATCTTCTGATTACATTCCGAGTACTTGTTTTAAATGCTATTTGAATTTCTCACAACTTATTTGTAGTAGCAGCAGCAATAGTGGTGTAGCATGTGTTTCTGTGCATGGAAGTATTTTTTGTAGTCTTTATAAAATGCGAGAAGAAAAATGTCACTACTACAATCAAAAGATGCATTCCAATTGAATGGGAATAGTTCATCATTTTCTTTGATTTCAATTGGAAGCTATGCATGATTTATAGATTTATTTATATAGGTAAAACATATACACATATGCAAACGCAGCATTGTTTTGTTTTTTTTTTTCACTTTGAAGAATTATTTGTTTGTCAGTTTGTATTTAAGGCAGGCAAAGAAAACACATTGTGTGCCTGGCAAAACTTTTTTTTGTAAATAAATATACATATTTATATACATACCTTCTTGAAATGCATTAATGTATCCGCACTGTTTTCACACATTTCTGTTATTAATGTAACGCCAGTTATAAGGATACCTAAAATAGAAATTAAAACGGAGATAAAAATATGAAATACAATTTAAATAAAATCTAATATATACACGATAAGAAGATTTTCCAATGAACATTTTATCGACAACTAGATTTTCAACAAAAAATACTATCGATTACATGACATAATACCGATAAAAAAACTTTTTTACCATAACACCTTGACGATAAGATTTTATATAGAAAATTATGTCGATAAAATAATTTTTAATACAGTGTATATATTTGTTTCATCAATTTGTAGCAATTTTTTTGTACATTTTCTCGATAAAAACCTTATCGAAAATGTTCTATAGAATATATTATCGATAATAAATTTTTCAATAGGAAATATTATCCATAACAGATTTTCTTATAAAAATTATTATCGATAAAAAGATAGGAAATATTATCGATAACAATATTTTCAATAGAAAATGTCGCTGTCTTTACTTGTAAAGCAACAAGTCCAATTTTCGAGAAATTGAGATTTTTATATAAGGCAAATTACATCGATCTAAAAAATAAAAATACAGTTATCTCATTTGGTAATGTTGTTTTTTATGGATGAGTAAAGGCGCTAAGTCCAATTCATCACATGTCGCTGGCTTAACATCATGTAAAGGCTCTAAGTCCACTTTTCATTTTGAGGATTTTGGACATAATTTTCAGCCGAATTGACTGTAATTTGGTGTTTTAGGTACTTATGGGGAAGCTCACCTTCCAACAAAAAATTATCAATATTGGTCCAATATTGAGGGTACCGCCCATATAACGGTATCCCCAATATTCTAAATTTTGGTAGGTTTGGGTACGTTTTTCAAACGAACTAGCAGTAATTTTATATTTGGGACTCTGATCGGGTATAAAATGTCTCTACCAAAAAGTATCAATATTGGGCCGTGTTTTGCAGTAGCCCCCATATTACGTTACTCCCATTATTCAGTATTTGGGAATTTTAGGTACGTTTTTCAATCGAATTGGTTCTAATTTGATATTTTGGGTTTTCATTGTTGTCCAAACATCCTACAAAAAATTATCGATATCTGTCCGCGATTTGATATAGCCCCACATAACTGTACTGCCAATTTTGACAATTTAAGGAATTTTGACATCAAACTTCCAATAGCCAATAGTTTGACATTTCTTTTTATCTTGGTAGTAATTTACGATGGCATATCACCCAAATAAAAGTCCCATTCGATTTTAAGTATTTGACTGTGCACTTCATGGTAGGGAGTATAAAAAAGTTTGGACCTGCCTAACATAGCGACGTTTTTACTTGTTTTTTTTTTTCATATTTTTTGATAAATTATGATTCCAAATCTTTACTCTTTTAGATAATATTAACATGTAAAAAATCAAAATTATTGCAGTAATTAGAAAATATAATGACAGACAAGTTCTAAGAAAAAGACCTATGTCCATAAAAACATGCAAACATAGCAACAGAAAAAGCTCTAAGTCCCAAAAAAGGCGTGTATCTCCGCAAATACTTATTTTTTCATTTTGCCTTTACGCAATTAAATTACACATACAACACAAAAACAAATTGCATTTACAGATTTAAAGAATCTGTACTCAAAAAAAAGTTTGATTGTTTTTTGCCTCTCCTGTAAAATTGTGAAATATCGACTTGTCGCCTTTCAAGATAAGCCAGCGATATTATCTATAACAGATGTTTTTATAAAAAATATTATCAGTAACAAGAATTTTCAATAGAAAATATTATCGAGAACATAATTTTTGTGTCAACTCCGCAACGGCTGAATTTTTAATGTTGTTCAATAAGCGCTAGAAACCAATGATCGGAATACCTACACTTCACGGAGTAACCATTGAACATTCTCTGAAAGCCAATAACCTCGGAATAATGCTTGCCTACCATTTAACGTAAAAAAATACCACCAAGGAAAACTTGAGTGGATAAACTTAAAAAAATGCGTGTCTATAGCTGAAATAGTCCCCGTAATAAATAACACCCTTATATAGTCCTTGGAAAATGCATTCCTATATCTCAGATAGTACTTGAAAAATACCCATAAAAAGTCATGCCAACATTCTTTAAAATATCCACACATATAGCTCAGATTGTCCTTGGAAGACATAATTAAAAAACACCACTCCTATAGCTCAGATAGTCCTTTAAAAATATTCTTTAAAAAATCATGTCAATAATCTAGATAGTCCTTGGAAAAAATCCTTTAAAATATCCAAGCGTGTAGTTCAGATTGTCCTTGTAAAATTCTCTTTAAAATATCATGCCAAAAGTTCAGATAGTCCTTGGAATATATTCTTTGAAAAAATCAACGCCTATAGCTAATATAGTCCTTTGGAAGAAAAAAACATACCTATACCTCAGAAAGACCTTGGAAAATATTATTTAAAAAATAAACGCGCAGATATTCTTTGGAAAATATTCCTTAAAAATTCCCAGCCTATTATTTTAAGCATCTGAAAATATTATTTCAAATATTTAAGAATATTGCTGTTCTATTGCAGATATAGCCCATGGAAAATATTTTCCCCGCATTTTTCGAAATTCTGAAAATCATGGAAACAGCCGTTTTCAGAAGGGAGGTGATTGCATATGGCGGTCCTCAAGCGGTCCTCAAGGCAATCAAGTCACAATCTGTAAATTTTATATTAATTTATGACTGCAAAGAATCTCTGCCCGACAAACACTATCTCTCCATTAAACAATGTTGGGTTCCAGGTCAAAGTGATTTAATATGGAATGAAATAATCAATGAGCTTGTAGTTACGACATTGCCGGGATTCTTAAGACCCATGGTACAATAATACAAGGTAGGGCAGCATGAGTTGAATAGCAAAAAAGCAACTATGTAGGTGGTGACTTCTGCCAAATATAAAATAAATATACGCAACAAGTAATTGTGTTTATTTGAATTTTTTTCAACACATAGCTAAAAACGCGAAAAATGAATGAAATGTTATGATTTATTTTCAAAATCCGGTAGGGAATACCATGAAATGTTTATTTCATCCATAACTACGTAATTGCTTCCAGGCGACAATGATAATCCAATATATTTACACCCAATGTTATTGAAAAATGCACAAAGTTCCCAATATACCGAAATATAGGTGACACTGAAAAGTGAAACAATATTGATATTTTTTGATAGAAAGATCAACTACCCAATTGGAACTCATAATACCAAATTATAGCAATTCGTCTGAAAAATTTGCTCAAAATACTAAACTAAAAAATGTTCAATACCCACCATCCCAGGAGTAGTTACAATCCATGTGCAAAATTTCAATGCTCTATCTGAAATATTGTGAGCTCCATCGTAATTTCAACCGACATTGCTAATCGATATAGAATTTTATTCTGATCAAGTTCTAAATTATTGCGCGTGATATTGCAACAGGCAAGCGACCATTGCGAAACAGACATAGAATTTTATTCTGATCAAGAATATATAAGCTTTATGAGATGTCCTGTGAAAGCTCGAGGTGTTACGAAAAGATAAATTTAATATACACTCGACCTTATGACGGAAGGTATATCTTTATACCTGCAATAAATTTATTTCAATTTTTCTTATTTTAATATTGCCCGTAGCAATAATTTTTATAAACAAATTTCGCAGAATGTGACATTTTTTACTCCCATCTAAATTACTTTAACGTCATATGTCAAATTTCCTTGAAATCATACACAAAAAATTTCCTTGCATGCCCCACACTAATAAAATGTGAACTTAATTTCAATATAATAAAACCCTAATCATCATCAAATATAAAACAATACGAAACAAACCCACGCTATACCAGTTTAAAATAAAAAAGGAAAGGAAGTATAAAACCAAAAAAACAACAATAACATAGAAAAGAAACCCAGTAGTATTAAAATACTTACCATGATTTTTTTCACTCAACAGTGAGCGTGTGGCCGGTAAGAAAATTTCCATTAACTCGGGTACACGTCGAATAACACGAAAAGCACAAAGGATGGCCTTTTTACGGATGTATGTGTTGGGTGATTTCATGAGACGTTCTACCTCGCTGGCTAAATCACGTGCCATTTCAGGCGAGGCTATGGCACCGAGTGTGCATAAAGCCAAACCCACAACAAATTGTGTTGAACTGTTCAAATCACTGGAGGCGGCAACAAGACGATACATCATAGAAAGAAGAAGAAAAACAGAAACAAAAACAACAAAATCAGATTGATTAAAATACAAAAGAACTTAATTAATTTTCGCCTGTTGCTGTGTTGTCTGATGTGGTGGTCGGTCCGGCAGTGTATGTGTAGCAGGAGCCAGTAGTATAGTAGTGAGTGGTCGAAGGCTACCATCGAACATGATTGATACAATGCATGTACCCGCACGCACACACATACATCATGGATGGATGGATGCAGACAAGAGCGGTATGATAAAGACTCACGCAATACCCCAGAATGTAACACATATTTTTACCTTTTTTGCCGGTCAGTAGTACAGAGTGGACACAGTGGTTTCATTTTTGATATATTCACGTTTTGGTTGGTAATGAGGATAGTGGTTAATAATATATGAGAAGATCTTCTAGACTACTTTAGAAAAGGTTTTTCTTCGGTCCCCTATGAAAAACGGTTTTGTCCTTCTGATCTTATATGAGGAAGATTCTTCCATATTTTCCCATCGGTTTTGTGTGGGAAACTCTTCTAGTGTTCTGTGAAGATGACTTTTGTCTTCAATAAGAAAACTTGCTGGTTTTCCATCAGAAGAACTTCCTTATTTCTCCTAGTAAACTACCTTGCAACTTCTGTTCTTCTCTTAGAAGACGTTCTGGCCTTCTATGAGAAAACTTTTCTTCTAGTAAAATACCTTCCTGCATTTTGGGGGTATTATCTGGTATTCTTAAGGTCTTCTAAAAAAATACGTTCTGGTCTTCTATAAGAAGACCTTCTGGTTTGCTGAGAGACCTTCAGGTCTTCTTTGAGAAGACTTTGTGGCCTTCTATGAGAAGACCTTCTACTCTTCTGAGAGAAGACCTTCTAGTCTTCTAAGAGAAAACCTTCTAGTCTTTTATGAGAAGGCCTCCTGATCTTCTATGAGAATCATTCTAGTCTCTTATGAGAAGACATTATAATCTTCTATCTTCTGGTCTTCTATGAGAAGACCTTCTGGCCTTCTTTGAGAAGACCTTCTGGCCTTCTTTGAGAAGACCTTCTGGCCTTCTTTGAGAAGACCTTCTGGTCTTCTATGAGAAGACCTTCTGGTTTTCTATTAGAAGACCTTCTGGTCTTCTATGAGAAGACCTTCTGGTCTTCTTAGAGAAGGTCTTCGGTTCTTCTTAGAGAAGGTCTTCGGTTCTTCTTAGAGGTCTTCGGTTCTTCTATAAGAAGACCTTATCGTTTTCTATGATAAGACGTTCTGGTTTTCTAGAAGACTTTCTGGTCTTCAATACGAAAACCTACTGGTCTACAATGCGAAGACCGGTCTAAAAGGAGAAGTCCTACTGGTCTTCAATGTGTTGACCATGTGGTCTTCTGTAGTATGTGTGGAGCTTCTGTTCTTCTATAATACATTCTAGTTTACTATAAGCAGATCTTGTAGACTTCTATAAGAGGACTTACATTGAAACCCATTGATCTTCCATGAGAAGACCTACTGTTTTTTACATGAGAAGACTACTGGGCTTCATTGAGAAGACATGCTCGTAGAATATGTAGAATATGGTCAATGTGTTGAGCATGTGGTCTTATGTAGTATGATTGAAGCTTCTGTTCTTCTATAATACATTCTAGTTTACTATAAAAAATATCTTGTAGACTTCTATACGAGGACTTACATTGAAACCCATTGATCTTTCATAAGAAGGCCTACAGTTTTTTTTTCATGAGAAGACCGACTGGTCAACGATAATATAACCCACTGTGCCGCCAATAACACCACTGAACATTCCATTTCATAAGATTGTTTTTAAAGAATGCCAAAATATAAAAACACATCGAACACACAAAAACTTACTTCTTTAGACAATTTGTTATCAGCAAATGAACATCCTGACGTTCGTCCAACAATAACATTGCACCCAAATAACCAATACGTTTATCGGTAAATCTTGAGCTGGCTGTGAGTTTTAAACATTCCAATTGGCCGAAATGTGCCGGATAGCCCAACATGTGTATGTACAGTAGTTTTGCAATGTTGCGACATCTAAAAATTAAAAAAAAAAGAATTATTTATGTAAACGAAAGAGAGTGAAGGCAGGGGGGATAATAAATACTTAACACTAATTTCTAAATTAAGAGCATTTTGAATGAACAACTAACCTCCATACTGGATCCTCTTCACGGAAAGTGGTGCGTATGTAGGCACATTCTTTATTAACAACAGCACGTTCCTCGGCAGCTGTGCGAGCCGCACGTATCTGTCTTATGAGATCTCTTAAACGTGTAGGTGTCGGCATCCTCACTGTAAGAAAAAAAATAAAGTAGAGAGTAAGAAAAAAAAAATGAAAAATTGCATAAAGACATTATTAATGAAGAAGGAAGGAAAGGCGGAAAAAAGACGTCAGGCAATGTAGTGCAACAACTACAACTACTAAAACCCCCATCCATCGTCTGAACAAAATGCTATATACTACTCTTCCATAAAATTTATGTAAATTAAGTGTTTTTGTTTGTTCGTGTGTATGTAAGTACGTAGGTATGTTTGTTCGTCTGTCTGTCTGGTAGTTGTCTTGCTTAGGTGGCAGTTATTTAGTTTGGCTGCAAATTGTAGGGAATACAATGCTAATAGATTTGCATAATGTAAATTTCGGAAAAGGCTACTTTGTGTGTCAATTCTAATGCAGAAAATGTCCGTCATCGTGTGTATTTATAAAATAAATATCTATGATTGGTAATAAAATCAAAGAGACCTTGCGTCCTTTGGTGATTATTTTCCATCTATTTAAACATTTGACTTGATATGGTACCGTTCATTCAGTATTGAACTGTAATACGGATATTTTTCAAGAAGAAAATTAGGCTTTGAAGCTTTAGGCTTAGATTTCAAAAAAAAAAAAAAATATATATATATATATATATGCAGGCTACAATAAGGGCGGATTTTTTAAAAATATTTTTGTCAGCGTTGTTTTATTCACTGGTTCCATTAGAAGTACACCTTAGGTAGTCGTTAAGGCAATTCTAATTATTAGACCATTCGATGGTCTGGATCCGTTTCTAGAGGCCAGAAGTGAAATGGAGTTCAGACAGACCAGAAATGTGACTTGAATGTGAAGGGTACCACTGTTGACATCAACAGGAAAGATCCAATACAATTCATATCGACTGAATGAATATTGCAGCATTTTTTTCAGGCAGATAAATTAAGACCTTCGACTACGGACTGGTCATTTTGAAAACGAATAATAACAGCACAGTAAATTCAGACCTCTCCCTCGATATCATAAATATCCCTCCATAAGTCTATGACAGGGGTGTTTCCGATGATAACGCCAAAGCATGTAAATCATCGACAATTTTTTTGGTGTTGATGGACGAGCTTACCACTGTTCGGTCTATTTCTTTATAAGAGGTCTAAAAGACTTTCTCACTTCAGTAGTTTATTTATCATTTTCAGTGGGTATTTTATTTAAGACGTTAACGCGGTCAGTGGATAGTGTGGCTAATTCGTGGCCTTCCACTTCTGTGTGAGCCATCAGTTGGCACGCTTTTATATGCCTTTTATGCTGGGGCATCTTCATCCATTCTCACAACATGACCTACCCAACGTAGTCGCTGAAGCTCGAAACGTCTGACAATGCCAATGTCCGACAATAGATGGTACAACTCATGGTTCACTCGACGGTAGCGCAGATCAACGTAGATCGGCCCCATAGATCTTTCGGAGAAATTTTCTCTGAAACACTCCAGGTGCTGCCTCATCTACTCGCGCAAGTACCCATGCTTCAGATCCATACAACACTACGAGTAGTATCAGCATTTTCTAGAGTGTGAGTTTGGTGTGGAGGGAGGTGGCCTTGTTTCTCGACCATCGGTTGGCCAACACTATCCTCCGAATTTCAAAACTGATGTTATTAGTTTTATTTATGGCGATACCAAGGTAAATAAAACCTTTGACTACCTCGGAGCTGTAGTTCTCAAGTTCCACAGTTGGTCTGAGTCTACTGGACGTGTTGTGCGTTGTTACCATCAGATAGGCCTTCTCGCCATTTACTGCCAAACCCACTTTGACAGACTCCTTCCCAATTTATTCAAAGGTGGCGGTTACCGTTCACAATGTTCGATCCATTATATCGATGTCATCGGCGTAGGCGAGTAACATGTGTTGTCTGGTGTACAGAGGGCTATTTCTGTTCACCTTTGCCTCTCGTATGACCCGTTTCCAGCAGGATGTTAAACAGGTTATTGAAGGGTTCCGAGAGGTCCTTTTCGACTTTAACCGCTAACCTTGTGCTAGTTAAAGTTATCCGGAATGCCGAATACGGACATGGTTTTAAATACCTCTGAGCGGATTGGGCTGTCGAATGCGGCTTAATAGTCGACGAATATGCGGAATGTGTCGATGTGTTTTTCGTGGGTCTTGTCCAGGATTTTGCGCAAAGTAAAAATCTGGTCAATGGGGGATTCGCCAGGTCTGAAGCCGCATTAGTATGGTGCAAAAATACCATTGTCTTCAGTCGTGCACGCTGATTAGCACATATGCGATGGGAAGGATAATTATTCCTCTATAGTTAACACATATCGTCTTGTTTCTTTTTTTGTGCACGGGACACAGGATGCTGAGGTTCCAATCATTTGACTTGCATTCCTTTAGCCAAATTGTACTAATCAGCTGGTGCATGCTCCTGACCAGCATCGGCTGGTAAACCATCGGCTGGTATCTTCTCCACCGCAACAATTTGATACCAGAAGCAATTCAAAATGCTCCTTCCAGATCCTCAGCACGCTCTCTGTATCTGTCACAAGGTTTCCTTCTTCATCTCTACTCGATGGTAAAATTTCGGGAATTCGTTCCGACCACTGTACATCTCGATTTGCTCACTCTATCGTTTTTCTTGTTCTTTCTTCTTTTTTTCTGAAAATACGTTTCTCCTCTCTCTTTTTCTCCCGATAATTCTCCATCGCATTACGCGTTGCTACTGTCTACTGGGTTGCCCTATACGCAGCGTTTTTCACATCAGTAGGATTACGACATTCCTAATCGTAAGATGGATTTCTTGATGCTGTTTTTTGGTACCCAAGTGTTGCTTTTGCTGCAGTTTGGTGGCCAGGTGACCTTGTGTATATCGAAATGCTTGATCCTGGTGCTGCTAACTATCATGTTTTTTTCTGCCGCGAAGTCAATCAACCTCATGCCGATGTCGGATGTTTCTTCATGGAGGCTGAATTTTCCGACGGTGGGACTAAAAATATTTCCCTTCCGATTTTTGCATTAAAATCCCCTAGCAGAATTTTAATGTCATGACCAGGGCAGCGTTCATATGCAGAGTTTCTAGACGCTCGTAAACATGTCTTTGGTCTGTTGTTCATCTTTGTCTTCCGTCGGAGCATGGGCGCAAGTAAGATGTATAAGATCTTCGCTTTTATACGGATTATAGTAATTCGCTCATCTACAGGAGTGAACCTGGAGACGAGGTATTTTATTCTCCTATTAACCATAAATATGCAGGCAAATTCACGGCTTGTTTCATGGCAGCTATAATACAGGGCGTAATCATCTGATTTACTTACGCCAGACCCTTTCCATCGCATTTCTTGCAAGGCAATAATATCGGCTTTGTACATCTTCAGTACATCCGTCAAGGCGAAAACTGCGCCTGTTCAGTACAACGTGCGCACATTGCAAGTGTAGATTCGCAGATCGTGGTCCTTTATACATTTGCGGGGGTCATCAACATTGGGGGGTTTGTGTTCCTTTTTTTCGTTGCTTTTTCAAAGTATGAGGGATTTTCCGAGTGTGGGCAACTAACCCGACGTCTCAATCCATGGATGATGAAGAAAATATTTAACCCAGGTGACACCGCGGGGAGGTCAGTGTCCATAATTGAAATTAAAAGGGGATGGGATTAACGAGTCTAATAACACAGCTAACAGATTGAGTATTTTCATTTTGTTTAGGATAATTTTCTTTCGACGAGTGAGAAGAATGTTATAAACTTCTAATTTCCTTGAAAATGAAGTCTACAAAAAATCTGACTCAACAAAATATTTCTCGTAGGGAAGACATTTTCGTCAAAAGAAGAGTTTATCGCTGAGTGATGTGAAGCCAGAAACTTTTCAATTCCCTTGTTGCATTTTCGAATTAACCACCTGAAGAGTTGATCACCCGAACATACACAGGTGACTTTTCAATTAACTTGTTTTGTATATTTTCCATTTACCCACCTGTCCGAACAAAATCTAATCTGCAACACCTAATCCAGTCAATATCAATGTAAATGCAAGAGGCAAAAATAACAGCATCAGGAGGAGGCGACGGCAAAGCAGGCAATTGTCGGCATTAATATCAGTTCAAAAACTAGAAAACAACAAAAAACCCCAACGTAAAATGTCTCGTTTTTTTTTAATGTGGGTGGATGTGTTTTCTTTTTCTTCTGTGTCTTTTAGGATTTATGTATGTGCCATTTTTTTCGTGTGTTGCCGCTGTCTATCTCTCTATGTCGTACCCGTACCCGTTTGTTCAACGTCTCGTCTGCATCTGGGTACAAACCTTGTACACATCAAAAAGAGTTACGAAAAAAAGAATACTAAATGGCCTATCTATCTGAGAGGAGGTAAATTTCGTATGCATGTCTGTGTACGTAATACGTATATTTAAAATCCACAATTTAAGTGTTAATTAATGCCTACATTGCTCAATTAGCTGGTATGGAGGTAGAAGGCGAAGAAGAATAAGACGATAAAGAAAACCGGGCTAACAGATATATGCTGGTGACAAGATGAAGATGGAAAAAAGAGATGTTGTTTTCCTCACACCACCCTTTTCAAATACACAGACATTATTGACACAGTGATTTACGGCTGAGACCCCGGTGACAAAATTAAAGCAAATACACAAGACAAAATAATTTTTTAACTTGTTGGCAGACTTACCTCGCTCCACAGCCTCTGAAAAGGCTTGTCGTATTGTGGCCATATTAAAGGCCGGATTGAATCTGTAAATATTAAGAAAGCGGGAATCAAAATGGGGTTAATAGGGATGCGGTGGTAAAGGATATCACGTAAACCAAACAATAGCAACATGGTATAGGTGGTGCACGTAATAACATATAAAATAAAAACAACAACAAGAAGATTAGTCTAAATTAAATAAAATAAATAAATAAATAAAATAAATAAACTTAACACGAAAATATATATTGGGGCTATATCTAAATCTATACCGAATTTCGTGCAAATCGAAAGATATATAGGGACTTTGATACACCATCAACATTAAATCGGACGAAACTATATATGGGAGCTATATCTAAATCTGAGCCGATTTTAATGAAACTTTACACACAGTTGGTTATACTAACATCAGCACGTTGTGCAAAATTTTGTGCCAAACGGCCATATTTTGGAGCTTTGAAAATCGGACGAAACTATATGGGAGCTATATCTAAATCTTAGCCGATTTCAACGAAACTTTACACACAGTAGGTTATACTAGCTTCAGTACGTTGTGCCAATCGGTCATATTTTGGAGCTTTGGTGCCCCATCAACTTAAAATCGGACGAAACTATATATGGGATCTATATCTAAATCTGAATCGATTTTAGCGAAACTTTACACACGTTATGCAGCAGTGACTTCAATACGTTGTGCAAAATTTTGTGACAATCGGCCATATTTTAGGGCTTTGGTGCAGCATTTACTGAAAATCGGACGAAACTATATATTGGAGCTATATATAAATCTGAATCGATTTTAGCGAAACTTTACACACTTTATGCTGCAGTGACTTCAATACGTTGTGCAAATTTTTTTGACAATCGGCCATATTTTAGGGCTTTGGTGCACCATTTACTGAAAATCGGACGAAACTATATATGGGAGCTATATCTAAATCTGAATCGATTTTTGCGAAACTTTTCACACGTTATGCTGCAGTGACTTCAATACGTTATGCAAAATTTTGTGACAGTCGGCCATATTTTAGGGCGTTGGTGCACCATTTACTGAAAATCGGACGAAACTACATATATGGGAGCTGCTATATCTAAATCTGAACCAATTTTTCCAATTTCAATACGGTTCGTCCTTGGGCCAAAAAATGAGGTGTCCCAAATTTCATCCAATTCGGATCATAAATGCGACCGGTACTTTGTTTACAATTTAACATGGACAGACAGACGGCGAACGGACATGCATAAATCGACTTAGAAAGAGATTCTATGCATATTTTCAAAAGGAACCATGTGTCTATCTCGATCTCGTTTCCTTTTGCATGTTAAAAACATATGCACAAAGACATAATTCCATGTACCACAGTGTGGTGAAGGGTATAAAAACCTATTTTATTTTATATGCTGCATTTATAAAAAAAGCAAAATTATACAAAATATAATTGTTTGAAATTAAATTAAAAATTAATTTGGTTATCAATCATTTGTTTGTTATCGATAAGAGCAATTCATATTTCGTGATTCAATTTAAAAGCAATTATACAATTGTAATTGCCAGAAAATATACACCGCTAATTTCTTACATATTAATTTATGTGACTGATAATCGAGTTGAAGTGAGATTGATTAACGAATTTTATTGCATTTTCATGGAATTACCAAAAAAGATTAAAAATATATTAAACATGTGTTACTAAAGTGCGGAATATCTACTACAATAATACTTAACGTATGTAAGAAATACGTCCTAAAAGTCTTCGTCAATGTAAATACATTTACTGAGATTTTCTGCAGTCCGAATATTTTTAAAAGTATATAAAAAATCCTATAGGTCTTTAGGATACATGGTATTTTATGTAAAGATGACCCTCTACACCATAGAATTCCTTTAATATGTTCCTATAGATAATATAGTATATTCCTCCCAAAGTAGAATACTCTCTATTGATAAACACTCTCCAAAAATGGAGTATCTGGCAGCCGTATCATTCTATAAAATTTTAGGCGGATGGAGGAGTTGAAACGATTAAGAATGCCGTTAAGTTCGATCGGGCTGAACTTTATATTCGCTTCACAAGGAGGTGGACTTTTAAATTTTTGATTCCATGGCAAATTTTCGATGGAAAGATTTGACACACAATGAGAATAAAATTAGAGCCAATTCGGTTAAAAACGAACGAATATTGGGTGTACCGTTATCCCCAAAAGTGTGCCGATAGTGATAATTTTTGGTACGGAGATTGGCTACGCTATGAAAATCATAGTATCAAATTACAACAAATTGGATTAAAAAACGTGTCCAAGCTCCCCAAAGTAGGAAATAGTGGGGGTATATATTAAAAAGTGAACTAATATTAGTAATGTTTGGTATAAAGATTTATAAAAAAAAGGATTCCAAAAAACTAAATACTGGGCAATTCTGTTGAAAAACTTGCTAAAAATTCCCCAAAATACCGAATAATGGTGGCGTTGGTGGGGTCTAATCTCAAAAGCGATCCGATATCGACAATTTTTGGGTGGGGATTTGCTATCCAATCAGACTTCAAAATACTAATTTATTGCCAATTTGGTTAAACAAATTTAAATCCTCAAAAGTGGGACGATATCGATAATTTTTGGCACGGATATTCAATTCGAAGTTTAAGGGTTTCGATTGGTAATTGGTAAAATTTTAATAACATAACAGAGGAATCCTTTAGGAAGTGTCAAATAGGACAAAAGATTCCTGCTTAGGAAAGATTTACTTCTTCGGTATCAGTAGTAATGAATTTATGAATTTATGGGCTGAGTAGAATAATCTGCATCATTTTTAGGACACTGTTGATAAGCTCTGATTTGACAACTTATTTCAATATCTGAAAAACAGCGTGTATCATTTTACATGCCTCTGTGACAATTTTTAAATATGGGGTGCCAAATTAAATTTGAAAGTATTTCATTTGAAATTTGAATCCGAAATGTCGAATCTGGTTGAATCGGCAAAAATATCCAGTAGTTAGACGAATTTGACGTACTCTCTGGCTGAAATGTTAAATGAATGATTGATGTTTTTTTAATACAATTTTTACCATAAGATATTCAGACGAGTTCGACTATATGATACCCTATACCACTTTTGGTAATTACAAGAGTTACTCCAAGAATTCTTTGGTACTTGCACAAGTCATGGCAGACTCCGGGAACATTTTACCTAAGATTCTAACCCAAATCCTGAGTAAATAGACTATTCACGAACTAACCGATTTAAAAGCTTAGGGAGACCAAATCTCAAGATCATTTCTTTTAATATTATTTTCTTCCTTTAACGTACATAAGGCTTTTAAACTGGCGTAATCCTACTATTGGAAATGTGTGTGTTCCCATTTCATGGTCATGAAAACGAAATAAAAAAGGGGGAAAGAAGAAAAAATGAAATTATATAGCATAAACAGAAGGGGGCTTGAGGGTAGATAAGATCCTTAGCCATTATACATCAAAGAAAAAGGTCATAACTTAAATCTCAATGCCATCAGAACTGTTAATATCTCCTGCTGCGAAACATTGAACATCTAAAGTATACATGTTCGATTATTTCCGTCACTTTCATTGATTTCCCACTTGGAATAGAGAGATCTAAATCCGCTGTGAAGTGTTGTGATTCCAGCATTTTCTTACCGAGAAAAAAAAACCATGATCGAATAAATGTTGTATCTATGATGCATTATTTTGGTGAAATCTGGGAGCTATATTTAAATGTGAACCAATGTTCACGAAACAGCACAAACGATTCTAGCGCTATACAAAATTTCGTGAAAATCAAAAGAAATAAAGGAGTGCATCATTTACATAAAATCGGACAAATATATATATGGGAGCTATAACTAAATTTGAACTGATTTTATCGAAACTTAGCACACATCACTCTAGACTTAATTCCGTACGCTGTGCCAAAAATCGAAAAATATATAGGAGCTTTGGTGCACCGTTTTTCATAAAATCGGATAAAAATACATATGGGAGCTATATCTAAATCTGAACCGATTTTCACCAATTTCAATAGAGTTCTTCCTTGTGTCAAATAAATGGGCTGTACCAAATTGCATCAAAATCGGATTACAAATGCGACCTGTATTTGGTTTACAATTTGACATAAACATATATCATGAAAAAAATATTTTATATGTGTTTATTCACATTTACTTTTGTGTAGAGTAAAAAACAGCTACAGTCACATCAGTTATCGTGGGTGTAAAATACCTTCAAGGAGGCGGTCACAAATCTAAATGGGCGGTAACATCATATTAACATACATTCATAAAACATGGCATTTTAAAAGGCATTAATTTTCCTTTATTTTTATTAAAAAATAACAATAAAAATAAAAATATGTGTGAGTTTTTCCAGGAAATCAGTTGATTGAATACAAAATTTTATAGATAGGGGACCCTCTAAATATCTCTTATAAATAATGGTATAGATTGATAATATATTTATATAAAGTAACCTAGAATCATTTTTATTAAATTATCAGTGCCAAAATTATCTATCTACATATATCTATAAATTTAAAGATAACAATAAGAATGCTAAGAAATATCTAATATTAAAAAAATTATATAAATTATGGAAACATACAAATAATAAAAACACAAAAAATATTTCAACAATGTTATTTTTTTAATAATTATGATACGAAGGAAAATAACAAAAACAAGTATAAAAATATTACCCAGATTCTGAATTCATATTGGATGGCTGATATCTGTTTCTGTGGTATTTTTACTTGCAATCCAATGCTGCTGTTGCTGCTGCTTCTGCTTGCGGTGACGACGAAGATGATGATAATGATGATGTCAATGACGGCTATAACTATGATCAGAAACAGCCAACGTCGACGTAGATATTAGGGTGGCTGTTACTGCTTCTGCCAATGTCGTTTGATGATAATGACGATTGAGAGTTTTTATTTTTAATAATGATGACGATGGTGTCGATCGACGACGACGATTATAACAATAACAACGCTTTGCGGTGGTTAAGCTTGGTATGAATCACTATTGAACGGGATGCTTTAAGTATTGGTTGGCTGGTTGGTTGGTTGTTTGATTTGTTGTTGCCACTGTTTTTTCATGTGGCTTATATTTTTTGGCTGTGTATTGTTTTTTTGTTTTATAGATAATGTATTAATACGTTCATTTGATTTTTGTTGTTATATATTTTTTCCTATTTTCAATAATATATATAGAAAATAAATTAAATAAATATTTTAGCTAGTAAACACACAATCGCACATGGCTATCGTTTCGGTGTAGGAATGTGTTTGCGATGACGTTTGCCTGTTTTTTAGCCATGGAGAGACTTTTTTGTTTAAATTATTTCATTTCATATTTTGTATTTTTCAAGCTTAGTCAATTAACTGCCACGATCTTATTTAACACTCAAATTGCAATAAGTTGAATTTTTTTCTCTCACTCTCGGGGTTTTCTCAATTAGCAGCGAAACCGATGTTGAATATCAGAATGACACACATATAAAACTCATTCAATATTATATCGTTGCATTTTTAGTTGAACAAATGACGGATTTTCAAAGAATGTTACAATTTTGAATGTTAAGATTAATATTTCCCTTAACAAGTAAAAACTAAGATCCAAAGGGCCAAACTTCTTATATCGTGATTGCGGAACTATGTCAAAGCATAGAACAAGCAAATTGATAAAAGTATAATCAAGATTGAGGTCCCAAAATGCCAAATACAGCCATTTCTATTGAAAAATTGGGTCAGGAATATCAAAATGAAATCAGGAAAATAAAAAATGGTACTGGCCAAGGATATATGAGGTGTACTGTTTCTAATGTCAATCATCTTATTAGCTGTTTATATGAAAAAATTCAAATTGAGCTTTGAATGTTTAATATTTAAAGTTTATATGTATATCGCATACCAAATGATGAAGGGTATACAAATTCCATTAAACCAAAGTTGACTGTAAAAATTTAATTACTATTTGTTTTCATTATTCTTAAAACGCATTTCATTCAGACCATTCGGCTGGCAAGCATTCGGATAACGACGATACAATTTCATTTTAAATTGAGATTTACATGTTATTCAAAAATAATGGGCATATGGGCACGTCTGTTTCGCTTCAGAGCTGGTGAATAGAAACATTTGAAAAATATTGAGCTAATCGAGATTTGAGTAAATATTTGAAAACAAAAAAAACTAGTTTTGGTATCTCAATTTCAAATAGTTGCATTATTCCCTTCCATATTTACTTAGGTCATTATGAAATCATAAGTTTGTGAGGTATTTAGAAAAGTGGTTGCGCAGTTGAAACAAAATGTGAGTGAGACTCACACACATAGGGAAAGTGTAAAAATCTGTAAACATTGTTTTAACAGCAGTCAGAGATGCCATACTCCAAGCAAATCTTTGGATTAAAAAAAAGAGAAATACAAATGTAAATTTTATCTGATTTAGGTGGGAATGCCTGAGTTCAAATCGCCTTTACAAGGAAAATTATTGACTAGATTTCAGAAATCATCAGACTGCTGATTCTTAATAGCTAATTTCACATCAGATCACAGAAATTACATCTTTCTAGGGATGGAGTAAAAAATAATCCCAAAAACATTAATTGGTGCATATTAAAAGCATTGATACAGGATCAAAACTGGCTTAGACCAATATATTCTCATGATTGTGGTCAGAGCTTCTTCGTTATGAAACTTCTTGTCTATCAAATAACTTTCAGTTTCTCATAAAAGTGAAAACACATCCAATTATCAGGAGACGTGAGTTCAAGTCTTGGGTATAATTATGTGGAAGAAGTTGTATTGTGGACCAAAATCAGTCTACGAGTACGGAACCCACTAAGCTATCCGAAACTAATAAGAATAATTAACAGATTTCTATCCTTTAATGGTCAAGGGCCAGGGTGAGTAAATACAGCAATGTTACAACATAAGGCAGATCGGGTATTAACGTGTCTTAGAGGTGATCAGTGGACACGGATCTACATGAGATGATCAGATGCATTCGAAGAACTACACAACTATTTAGCTACAATTACCTGCTCGTTTCCACGACATAGAGATCTACAATACAAAACGTCTCGAGTCTTCAATGTCCTCACCACAGCCCATTGCGTAAACGCATTAGAGCTGCTAAACTGCAACCGAAACTTAAAATTTTCCAAATACTGAAAATTGGACTGGAACCTTTATATAAAGGCTATGTCAAAACTTGAACCCAAAACGCCAAATATCAACCAATTTGGTTGAGAAATGCAGTTAATACATTCAAAATAACTCAATCGGGCGCAAACTTTATATGGGGATATATCAAAACATGGAACTATATCGGAAATATATCTTTCACACTCTTAGGATCTTGGAATACCAAATTAGAGACATATTGGCGAAAAAAGACTAAAACCTTCACATTGCCGAAACTTGTGGAGGGACCCTATATAAAAATATAGACCTATATTAAAAAATACGTCGGCCTGCATGAATCCCCCAATTGCAAATTACAATTACATTGGCGGGAAAATGTGGTACAAAGAGCCGCCTCGATTCTAATAACTGGAGCCGCGAGAAGCACCCCACAAGCAGCTCTGAACGCAATGCTGAACTTAAGCATTAAGTGTCAGGCAGCGCGTAGTGCCCTAAGGCTGCATGCATGAATGTATCCTGAACTAACTAGGTATTTCATTGGACCGACTATATATCACCAGTCCTGAGATTTGACGATGTAGATGTCTTTATCCCTAGTAGAGACGACTGGACTCGTAGCAACACTCCCTGGCTTTTTATACAGACGGATCCAAGATGGAAGCAGGGGCTGGGGTCTATTGTGAAATGGTAGGCCTTAAGCTAACATACAAGGTGGATAGCAACTGAAATCTTCGCGATTTGGAAGGCAGCGGTATTGATAAAAAGTCTGGATGCAGAGATCGTTGAACCGGCGGCTATAGTTGGAGATAGTCAGGCGGCTCTTAAAACCATAAAACCCTGTAATATCAAATCTGAGGCCGTCCTCGAGTGTAGAGCAGTTTTGGAAACACTCATTTACTGCTATCGTCTGTGTTGGGTACTAGGACACCCTGACATCATGGTTGATGAAAAAGCAGACGAATTAGCTAGACGAGAATCTCAATCTACAGATCTATAAATCGATTGATGAATCAAACCACACATTTGTCATCTTTTTCGGAACTTTGAGGCGTTCTTCGTCGAACGAGCCAATGAACTCTGGCACAACGAACCTAGGTGCAATGTGTCAAGATTTATCTGGCCGACTCTGTCAATCAAGAAAACAAAATCACTGTTGAGCCTGAGCAAAGCAGAAATAAGAGTAATGACAGGAATCATTACTGGTTATCGCAATATCAGGACCTTTACCAGAAATGGGACCATGATGTTACTGATTACTTCAGACTCTGTGCTGACGAGGAGGAGACGGAGACAATTGAGCATCTCCTATGTAGATGTCCAATTCTGACCTACAGACGGCACAGACTAGTGGGTGCTCACTTTCCACCGTCTGTAATCCACAACATCATTAGAAACCTAAAGTGGTTAGGTAAGTGCAACCTTAGCACGTAATGTCTCTATAGCCATCGACATTACATCAAAACCTTTATCCGATCTATATAACAACATCGACCTATATCGAAAATTGTCTGCAAAAATATTTTCCACGCCCAAGAACATGAAAAAGTCCAGACTTTTGTCCAAAACCTATATCAAAAAAATATTTACCCTTCAAGAACAGGGAATGGATCTCTTATTGGGACAATTTTCTTTATTGATATACGAACCCCGTCGGAACTTTAAAATTAATTGAGATTTAAATTCCACGTGCAATTAACCGTAACATATTAAAACCAGAAATATTTTTCCTTTCAAGTGTCAGCCTCTTCAAAATATGTTAAATGTATTTCGCATAGTAGTTCAACATTTCATTATTTGCTAAATTCAGTTCGAAAATAATCAATATTAACACTCAAAACATTTAAAAATAGAAACCCAAAATTCATATCATTCATCATCATCTTCTTTTTTTATACCTATTATCAGAGGTTTTAACGCTTATGCAAATAATTCGCAAATTTATGTTCAAATGGGTGTGTGTGTGGTGTCTGACCCACTGTTATGATACTTTGGGGAAGCAAACATCACACGGGAGAGAGGAAGGTCGAACCTACAATTGTGTGTTCACTGGAAAAATAAGAGCATTTTATTAAAAGCTCTTCTTAATGCATGTTCTAGTGAATTGGATATAGTTGTGGTTGTTGTTTTTGTAACACGTCATCATCGTATTCTGCACTCGAGACCAATTTTCGTCTTAACTCGTTAATACTGTGTTAACAATTGCCACATTCATACAAACTTATGTATGTATATTTATTAACAACTACCTACATTTATGGTAGCAACGGACGTATCGCCGTACAATCAAGCGTCGGATATATGCAACGGCATATTGTAGAGACAGACAAAACAGGCAGGCGGGCAAGGGCAATCAAATAGATAGTCAAAACAGCAGCAGCAGTCACAGTTTGTACTAGAGGTCATAAGACCATATTTTAGATTTACATGATATTCTGGTAGGAAGAAGGAGGAGGTAGTATTTAAAACAATTTAAGTCCGAACCGGGTGATGGCAGCAATGGGTATTTAGCCGAGAACGTACGGCAGACTTAAAATATATCAATTGAATTGAAAATCACTTTGTGTTGTTGTTGTCGTTATTATTCGATACGTGCCACACACATTTTTTATTATAG